TGCTGTTGCTGTTGCTGTTGCTGTTGCTGTTGCTGTTGCTGTTGCTGGTGCTGGTGCTGGTGCTGGTGCTGGTGCTGGTGCTGGTGCTGGTGCTGGTGCTGGTGCTGGTGCTGGGGCTGGGGCTGGGGCTGGGGCTGGGGCTGGGGCTGGGGCTGGGGCTGGGGCTGGGGCTGGGGGTGGGGGTGGGGGTGGGGGTGGGGGTGCTGGTGGCTGTGGTGTTTATATGTCGTACTGCTATAGCCGGTGCTCCGCACCTCCTCCCGGTTTACCAGACAGCTCAAGCGTGCTTTCGCGCTCTTTCCGAGAGTTACAAAGCCAATCGAGTTGATACAAGGGGGTGTTTGGGGGGACGACACACAATTGCCAACCAAGGAGTACACCCAATAAAGCTACACAACTTCATACCCATATTGCAAAGACAACTTCTCACAGCTGCAGTTGTTGGTTGTTAACTCCATGGCACTACAGCAAGGGGCCGAGAAGCCGAGAAGGCTGTACATTGGTTGTGGGGAGAGGGGGAATGTTGCGCTATTATTGTGTTTTGTATAGGAATGTATGGATGTTGAGAGGGCGTTGCGGGGCCTTGGGGTGTGGGGAGACTTTTGGTAGGGTGGCAGGGGTTGCAGAAGAAGCTGCACCGTGTTCTAGCATGTAATGCATCTTGCCGATCATTATGAACTGCCTACAAAAATCTTTTCTCGATACGATCAAGCTCGCAGGAATACCACCACTGATTTGCTCAACCCCTGTGCTGCCTGTGCTTGCTCTGCAGCCACGCGGCTTCAGGAATGCATCTTTCGACAGGCTCAAGCGTTTCAGAACCACTAATTAATCAATTGCGATTGAAACCAGGACCTTGAGACTTGCTGCTGCAAGCCTCAAAGCGAAGCTCGTTTCAAGTGTAGCTTTGCAAATTAAGCTGGGGTGCTGCACTGGCCCAGACGAAAGCCCGGATTTGCTCCACAGACAAGACAAAGTCCTTGAACAGGCACTGCAGCATGGTCTCTTGCTCCTGGCTTGCTCTTCAATCCCATCGCAAGAAGGGTCAAGTCAAAAACTGCCCAGTGGATCTGAAGGTTAGAGCAGGCAGGCAATGCTCAGTGCCCATGCACATCACAAGACGATTCGCAGCAGGGTGAACTCGCAGCGGAAGGAAGCCTGTCCTTGGCTCGGAAGCGATTCCTCCTCCAAAGTGCTAGCAGGGGAACCACCTGGCAGTGAGTTTCGGAGCAAAGTTTTCGTGGACCATGGCCGGTGTGATCGGGGTCGATCAATCTGCCATTCCGCTCTTGTTTATGTTGCTAAATGTTGCTAAGTGTCAAGTACATGTGTACATCTTGTGCAACCGATTTCGCAGCGAGCCTTGTGCACAGCAGGCTTGATTCGACGGTTCCGTGTATACTGGACCAGGTAGCCGTCGAAGCTTGAAAACCGCGCTCCCTCCAAGGACTCATTGCCTGCAAGGTGGGTCTATGGCTTCTTCGCTCCACTTTGCTCCAACGACGCACATTGCCGGAAAGACTGGGAGACTCGACTGCAGCCTGATACTATCATGCCTGTCGGAACTTTTGACAACAACGCACGGGATCTTTCATCACGACCCTGCTTCGTGCGAAGCCCGGCCTATGCCATCCACTTGGAAATTTACAGAGAGATCTCCTCCTGTGGCCAAGTTCCAGGTGCCCCGATTCTTGTGAGGATGCTGGTACCCGGTGGAGCTCTTCAGCTGTCCGAAGGAAATCGATGGTCTGATTCTGAATCGCTCACTTGTCTTGTAGAGGCGCCGCAGAAGAGCTCGATGGTAAGGCCGAGCCAGATCCAACTCAAATTGCCTCGACGGACTTTGTGGGCAGAAAACCTGCTTCGAGTCCTGCACCGGGACCAAAGCCGAACTGTGTTGACTACACGTCCTATTTCCCGGGAAACTCTGCCTGACGAAGGTGCAACTTCGGAGCAGTACCGGGTCCTTGTCCAAACTGAAGGAGGCACTTTCATATGCGCAGCCTTCGCAGTCGAACCATTCCAAGCCCGACGTCTTCTGGGCCAAGAGCCGGAAAAGGCAACGCTGCCCAAGCACTCCAAGGGGATTGTCGACCTTAATTAGGTGCCAACGGCGAATGGCGACAAGTCAGGGTAATCATATGCCGCTGCACAGGGTCCATCAGCTGCGAAAAAGTAAGCAATCGACGATCACGAGCTGCTTCAGGCACCGCAAACTCTCACATGCGTCTTCGAGGATGAAGGCGCCACGGAAGTCTATGTGGTTGAATGTAATGTTCAGGAAAGACCTCAGCGTCCAGGCGTGAAGCTTTCTGTTCACCAGCAACAAGTTGAAGTGAAACCAGAGTCCCACACAATTTATGGGCATTCGGCAGCTGTTCAAGAAAATGCTCGATGGGCAGGTCCTGACGGGTGTCATGAGTCAGACATGGGCACTTGTCACTTCCCAGCAGTCCAGTTGCAATGTCTCCGCATGACAAACAGACATCATCACAAGATGATCAAGCAGGTAGCAATATCTTATCGCACAGGCAATCATAGGTTCCATCCATCCAGTCCCGGGTCGAACGCGATGAACTGGAGCATCCAGCAATGCTCAGAGTGCGAAGCTTCACCGCAGCTGTCAAGCAGCGGCCCAGCTGCGCAAAAGATGCACTGTCGAAGGTGTTCCTCAACTCTGCCAAATTCCTTTATGCTCACTCTACCTTACCAGGAAGGTCGGCCGCGACTGCATCCAGGGCTCCAAGCCAAGTCGACCTCCTTGCGTCGGGAGAAGAACTTCACTGAAGAAACAGTGGACTGGAAAGGACTTCAGCAGTCTGCTTGGCTTTAGGGCACCCTAGGTTCCTTGCCTCCAGCAAGTAGCCTTGAAAAAGGCAGCTGAGACTGCTCTTGGCGCTGCGAACTCCAAGCCGCCCAATTCCGAGACTCGCCAGGCCCACTTTGGTCAGGGTCGGGTGCTGCCCTTAGTATAATTATAGGATATTTCTATCAGACTATAGTACATTATAGACTACTACACTTACCATACTATATTCTATAGACAGTTTTTGTACACCGCGACAGCTACGCCGGAGACCTCTCCCTTTCTCGGGCCCGGGCCGATGGCATCGAGCAGAGGGCGCACGGAGCCCATGGGCAGCGCGATTCCACTCAGCTCAAGGGACCACAGGAGACCCAAGCCTGGAGCTTTAGGGGGCTTCTTTCGGTTGAAGGTCTCGACTCTCGCACAAGGCAGGGAAGGCTTCACACAAAGGCTTAGGGTTTAGAGTTTTTAGGTCGGGATGAATCCAGACTGCCACTTTGGTCGAGTTTCTCTTATCTCTTGCTGGTTACCTGCACTGTTTCAAGCGCGTGTTTGACGTGTACGTGTATGTGTGTGTGTGTGTGCACATAAACATATGTATACAGCCACACACACACACACACATCGTGCATGTATGCATGTAGGTTTGTGCTGACGATCGTTCCGATTGGGGGTATGTCATCAGAGAACACCCAAGCCACCATTTCTTGGAGCGTGTAGAAAAAGAACACTGTCGCCGCAGAGTTGTTGCAGTCGTCGTCTGCATTCTTGGAAGAAGACAGAAACCCTTGACTGACGTGCCCTGGCGACCTTCCTATGTCTTTGTGCTCTCCTCCTACACGAACTGCAACTGAAATCATTACCCTACAGCAGACAGGTGCACAAGCCGAGACTTTCTCGTCAAGGCTGGCACCCCTTCAAAAAGTTGTGCTCTGCAATAGCGGCTCGGGAGCCAAGGAGAGAACCAGTAAGCTTTGCATGGCAGTGCGCTTGTCAACTTGTTGGATGCTTCGGATCCTTGACAATATCCTGCTGCAGGTGAGGAACCGCCTTGGTTCATGATGGAGGTGAGCAGGTTGATGGAGGCTTCACCCAATGATCGGCAGCGGCTCAAGTTCAGCAAGGAAAGGCATGTCCTGCAATACCGAAAGAGGGATCATCGCCACGGAATCGGAATGCATGCAATCACTTGAGCGAGGCTCTCTCTAAGCAGTAGTTGACTGCTTCCTGTCCGACGTTGCAACAGACCCCTCGCCCATTTGAACTCTCGTCTTGCATCCGAGCGACTTCTTCTCACCGACTTCTCGCCTGGTGGAACATTTGGACGTGGTGATCTCGTGTCGTGGAAAATCGGCAGCCGCAGATGTCTGTTCAGACAAGTGGCAGGAACGGCATCATTCCTCTGTTAGTCAGGTTTGCGTTGTCCGACAGATCCACTTCCTGTAACGGCAAGCTCGCAAGCTTTCTGCAGGGCTCAAATCTCCGTGTGGCGATGACCAAAACCCCGTCCTCGACAAGCTCTACCTGCCTGGTCAAGGTGAGAAGGCTCAACAAATCCTCCGGGTCACTAGATTTCATCAGCATCAGAGCGGACCAGCAAACGGACCCGAGCGGTCCTGGTCCGTGAGGCTGTGGTTTGCTGCGTGAAGGTTCGGCGAGTGGCCCGTGACGAACGGCAGTGGCCGTGGTCGTGTGCCGAGCTTGCTGCACGCGTGTATGTACCTTGCAGCGAAACCGCGGTTGCACCTAAATACGTCTGTCTGGTCAAGCATACGTTTATGCTTCTGGTGGGTTCCTGAAGCCGGGCAGTGCATCACCCGCAATGTTTCTGGCCCCGTTGTGTACGAGATGTGTTCAAGCATCGGGGTGACAGTATTCCGGGGGCAAGTCCGCTGGCTTCCGAGAAGTCGCTGGTAACTCGGAGCGTACTCTGCAACTGTTCTGACGTGCTGCTGTTCGAGCGGTGCGTCCATCACCGGCAACTCGTCCAGGCCTTCAACTTTGTCCAACATCCCAGGATCTGCCAGAATCATTGGCGAGTTCACCACCTGCGCCCAACTGCAGGTAAGTCCAGAACACGATGAGCAGACTCCGTTGCCAGCTTGCCTCTCGCAAATAGCAACACCAACCGAAACCTCAGGGGTCGAATAACAGCGGTGTCCTCTAAATCCTCTAATAGCTGCTGGAAATATCCCCGACATGGGCTGAGACTATTAGAAGCAGGATCAAGATGAGCAGCGGGTGGAGACGTCCATGTTCTGTAGGTCCAAGACAGACTCATCGAGATCGTTTACGGCAGCGGGTCCTGTCAAAGCGTCGCTTGCTGAACGGGCATAGCAAAAGCACCCCAAGCACGAAACATACCGTGAGCCACCAATCTTCCTGGCAGTTGTGTACAAGCGATGCTAACTCCGTGCCTGGCAGATCAGCCCAAGTAGACGCCAGAGAGTCGCCACCTCTGCATCTCGACGGTGCATGCATGGACTCTCTGTGCTTCAGAAAACGCGACGACTGCACCACTGTTGCTGAACGACCTGGCCCCAGCATCTCTGCCTTTTCTCAAAATTCAAACCTGCTTGCGGAGATGCCACCATCCAAGAAAAGCGAGGAAGTCCACCTCATGGACATTTGAGGCCGTGTCATCGACGAGAAATCTTTGCGGGCACCTGCACATTACAAGCTCAAGGTGGCAGCTAGCGAGGTGTTGCAAGGAACATCTAAGCCATCTAAGCCTAGGCCATGGGGCCTCCGGGAGCTGTGGCCGCTCTGCTGGAGGGCCGCACACCGAATAAGGAGGAAGTCCAACTTCCAAAGATCTCTGGTTTCGGCGTCGATCTCTTACCGCGGAACTGCAAGTCCCATGTGTCCGACGCACTGCAAACTACCTCGGTCCAAGCACCGTCGAATCCGTGAACTCCATGAAATGGAAAGCATCAACACTAGCCGAGGTAAGGTCGGGTGCAGATGCCCAGCTAGTTGAGGGCCTGCACTTGTAGCTTTGCCAGAAGTCCTGGATCAGCCGCTGCCAAAACACATCACTGCTCGGTGGTCTGTCCAGAAGGTGGAAGTCAGCTTTCACTACGAATGCATGGAATACATGATGCAATTTTGCGTTCCTACCTCGAGATGAAACTCGTGCGCTGCCGTGGTCGCGAAGTGCCCTCTCTTTGGCTCGCTGGGCTGCTGATGCATTGCCTCCACCTGCATTCATGTGCCGGCGCAGCGATGCAACGAATCAACTCTGGAACAGGGCTGACAAAGGTCCATTTGCATCCCAACACCCCTGGAGAGCCTGCTGCACTTGCACTTGTAGGGCTAGGAACGAACGGTGCGTGCGGATCAACGTCTTGCAGATCCTCCGTAAGCCTCGATCTTTCCACAGATACCACTCCCTACGACAGGTGAGTGAAGGTTTACAGGTGGGCCAAAAAAACATGCCTCTCATGTTGTGATCCTAGCACAGACTTACGGAACATCCGCGAAAGGTGGCTCATGACCAAGTTTTCTGTGCTGCCAAACGTCGCTGGTTTGGTGGCTCGCCGCTCGCTTCCCCACAGGTATGTGTCCAGGCGCATGTCAAGCACTCGGATAATCTTTCGTGCAAGGTATCTCGCACCTCATCTGGAACTGCAACGTCTGAAGATCCACAGGACACCCACGATTTTTTAAGTGTCTGTGGACGCACTCTGCACGGCTCTGCAGCTGAAGACATGCTGATTCTGTGCAAGCAGGGGAACGAATTCAGTCCACGTGCCAGCAGCGCAAGTAGCCTTTGTGCTTCGAACCTCCAGATGTGCAGCACACGCGAAATCGCGTACATGCCTTGCGACGGTCCAAATACCTCGATTTACTTAAACCCGCTCTGGGGCTAGATACTTCAATTTAACTAAACCCCCTCTAGGACTGGCTTGGAGAAGAAGTCGAAATCAGATAATCTTGTTGAAGATCTTGCTTCCAATAATACTGATGACTCCTCACTAGAAGTCAAAACGAGCACCACTAACCAGCATCAACATCTCGCGGCGAAGAGAGACTGCAACAAATGCCAGAGAAAATGCAAGTCGGTCTTGCGACAAGTGACTGGGAACTTCGTGGATCACCCATTCGGCTTCTTCGACAAGCACAAGCCACAAGCCCAGATCCATCAATATCTTTGGAGTCTACCGCTTCTACCGTAGCATCAGTCCCACACCTCGCTCCCCTCGCATGCAAAAAGTCGGAATATCGGCCTGCCGTGGTGATACAGGCCATGCAGACTGCGGGGAACCAGCTGGCTGCTTGGAGACCTGCAACAACTTCACAAGCTCCAGATTAAGCCTCGGCCCAATGGATGAGGCCTCCGCGCGTCGCAACCACGCACTCAGGGCTGCCAAGGTCTGTTGCCGGAGCTCTTCAGCGAACTGACCTGAAAGTTGGGCCGCCGCACCCCACGGGTTACAGCAGGGATCAGCTAAGCAGAGCATGCGCATGCTATGTCGCTATGCTGTCACCAAGAGCATACAGCCACTGGAACAACTTCAAGGAAGGTCGATTTATTGTTTGCCGGTGTTTGTGACAGCTGAGTGCACAACTTCGCTCTGGATCGTCATCCTTAAAGCTACCAGATGCTACAAAACTTTGCTCCGAGAACAGCATCCATCATCAAAGCATGCAGGTGGCTTGCGGACTAGTTTCAAGGATGACATCACCAAGGTCTTCTTGAATCTCTGCCGAAGGCAATTTTTCCGGAAATAGTGCGCGAGCTTGAGCAATGCGAGTGCTCAGTTTCCTCAGAAATCGAGGCAATCAACCGGCAGCTGATACGAATCATTGCGCGTGCATGCATGAAATCTTGCCTGATTCCCTGCAAAGCATCCGTTTTCTTACCATCCTGATGGCATGTGGCGCATCCCGTGTGCCGATTCGTCGCGATGTGTCGCGATCACGGACTGCAGGTGCACATGCAACCCGCGGATTTCCATCTGCGCCACACTACGCGGAACGACTGACCTCGAGTGACAAGCCAACCATGTGTTTGTCCAGCCTACAAACCTACTGACCTGGCAGTGCCTACACCTGGTCGCACTGAATCCATGGCATGATGCATCTAACCATGCCCGTGAGCCAAATGCTGAGCATCGAAACACTTCATGTCAAAACCTCGGAAAGACTACATGATTTAGCGGACGCCCTGCCCCCCCCCCTCTCCCTCCCCACCTTTCTGCACACCCACACACACCCAAGCACATTGGCCCATGTCCCTCTTCGGCGTACGCACCAAGTGCGCATTGGCAACTATTGGAACTACTTGCCGAAAAACTGGCAGCTGCGTGTCGCAGCGCTCCCGTGCACTACGCCGCCGAATGCAAGCAAGCTGCTTGCGACGACAACTTTCGAAACCCAAGCACAGGGCTGCATTCTGCATGTCTTCTCCTCTCGGCTGTCGAAGTCCTGCGCCTCGTGCTGCCAGCTTCATTCACGCATTTCGTCGCCACGGTCCAGTCAGGTCATCGTGCGCCGGATCGTCCGCGTTCTTCCACGGAAAATGCCACGCGCGGCTTGAGCACTCGTCAATCTCCTGGCGCTGCAGCAAAGTGCGCAGAAGAGGAGCAAACTGAGAGGCAGTGTCCTTTTTCTTTGCCCGGCTTCAGCGGCATTCTCTTGGCCTGCTGCAAGACAGTGCAAGCACAAATTTGTTGTGATATCTTGCACGCCTCCTTTGTGCAAGCCGGCAGATGCCAGCTTGCCGGACGGATCTCGTCGTCACTTCCACCGTCTGGGCGCATGGAGATAATACCAGTACAGATCATGCAGGCAGAATGACCTGTAAGTTCTCGTACTGTAACACACGCTGTAACTGTCCGCAGCACCGTCCTGCGAAATCTGGTGCGCCATACCCGTCCCCATCGGACCTCCAACAGCAGAGTCAGGTCAAGGACTCATTCCATCTCAAGTCGTTCGCTGAGGAGTGTACAATGGGCCAAGCCTGCAATGCAGGGCCATGTCTCAGCTCGTGACTGTGCAATTTTCTTTTGGACAGGTCTAGCAGGAATGCCTGGATCGCAAGTCCAAGAGCTCGGCGCAGCTCGGATTCTGCAGCAATCCATTCCTTCTGAGTTTAACCAGGCTGATCTTCTCTTCCCACTTCCCCACTTCTGTGACTTCGGAGCACTAGACTAAGGCATTCGCTCAGCAAATGCGATAGCGACGTCATGCATGCCGGCCTTAAAACACCACGCAAACCGACTCTGACAGACCTTAGATCTTGCGAACTGCAGGATGCCTCGACGGCACAGCTTGCACCTCTCCATGACGACCTTAAGGGCCGCTTCCGCGAGGGTCAGGGTGCCGAGGCAGGGCAGCAACCCCTGAGCAGTCTTTGTAGCTCAAAGGGCCTTACTTGGAGTGGCTCGGATAATATCGCAAGGCCTTGGCAGACGGGCGGTAGATGGCAGTGAGCATGCAGAACGGCTTGCAGAGTAAGCTCGAAGCAGCATAGCATCTGTCGATTGCCTGGACAAGCTCAACAGGCTCGCATCTGTCTCCTGCACGGAGGTGACAGCTATGTCCAAGACCTCCAGCCATCTTTTCTGCTTCATCAGGGCCTGCACTGCTTCGGAAACTGAGGCAGTGATCCAGAGTCACAGGTCCATCCTGTGCGCTGTTTGAATGAAGAGCCGCTGCCAGTTGCTTGACAGACGAGGCATCGCCTCACAGGCAGACTGCTGACTAACAGACGGTCACAGAACCCAAATTTTAGAAGGCGCTACAGTAAAGCTAGAAGGCTGCATACGGCAGTCGCTTCGTCACTTTCAATGAGTGCTGGGCCCCTTCCAGGCTCTAAGAGGGCATCCAGATCCCGCAAAGCCTGCCGAGGCTGATATTGTGTAACCAATACAGACTTTCAAGCTGCCGTTGCCTCTGCATAGATGCGTAGTGCACCTGAAACAAAACGGAGTGGCCTCGTTCATGCTATGGCAACTCGATGTAAGGATGCTTGAATTGCACGCGCCTTCAAAGTCTTTGGCAGCAAGCTTCCGGTTGCCTCTCTCCTTCCGAAAACACTTGGCTGCTCCGTGAAAGGCTGCCTCACAGCGGGCTCCTTGAGCTCTGTCACGTGGGCACAAGCTTCCTTTCGAGGACCGGGACCCGGGGCTCTCGACTTAACCCATCATCAGGGTCGAGTTCTGCAGGCCGAGCATCTTGGGTCGAGTGCGAGCCGTCTTCGGGCGCCATGATGGTTCAAGTTGGCCGCTGCTGACTACTATACTAGGTTTGAGACCCGGCTTATACTGATTCAGTGAGCCGCTTCAAGCTCCGAAGCCCGGGTCCGCTGGTCCGTCAGAGCACTAGCAAGCGCAGCGACTGGCAGGACAACACGTTCACTCCTGATCTCTGAACAGCCGCTGTGATCTTTTTCCTTGCTGCTGCATCCCGCTCTCTCCAACGCCAGCCTTGGCCTCACGACAGCATTTGATAGTGCCCTCCGCCGTGCGTCTGGAAAACGCGAATGGCATCGCCCCTGCGCCCAGAACACCAGAGTGCTGACTTATGGCCGGGCTTGACTCAAGCAATGAAGTGTTGGGCTGGCGGCGGACTGCGCAAATTTTAAGAATCGTTTTGGCAGTGTTTTCGGATCCCCGTGTCAGTGCATTCCTGTTTTCAGCTTCCTCTATGTTCTCTGGGTGTAACCGCAGTTTTTGCACAAATCCCGGCGCCGAATGCACTTGCACGCCCTACTGCCAGGCCTGGCTTCTGCATAGCATGTGGCTTCGAAGTACGGAAGGATCTGCATGCGACGCATTACAGGCAAACCAATCAACGCAAACCCAAATCCTGTTGTCGCTGATCTCTGGGCCTTCCATTCGTCACCATCTGCCTCAGCAGCAGATCTGGGAAGAGAAGCTTGCTTCGACTGCCGGCCGATCCTGCTCAAGCTTGACCTCATCTTGCGAGACCTGAAAGCCAAGATTGTTGCACACATGCCTGCTGCATGCGTTGGACCGTAGCAACAGTATGGCCTACCAGCTAGCTGGTTTGGGCCGACGGCGTGTCAGATCTTTTTCCAGACCTGCTCTTCTCGTCACTTGTCGGCTTGAACCTCCTGCGCAGGCCCTTGAAATCTGGGCATATCCCGGCAAGCCGCTGGCAGCCTGATGCACCCTGCAGCTCCCTGAAGCTACCACAATACTGTCGTGCAGAATGTCGAGGAGGCACGGGCAAGGACTACGCAACTGACCACTGGCAGCTGCATGTCGGCGCAGGCAGCTGCCCCTCACTACTTTACCGGGATCTGTGCATCCCAAGTCAGAAGAGCCCACAAGAGGCCACACTAAGGTGAGATAGTCGCTGGCCAAGGCTCTGCCACTATAAGTGTGCAAAGCAGCCTGTCCTATGCTGGCAAACAACAATGCTCACTGCATCAGCGGGGCTGACTTTAAGCATAGATGCACCCCGAGATACAAGGCAACGGTGAAAGGTCTCAGGCTCTGCCACTTCAGGGATACGACTTAGCGGTGCTGAGCGCTTGGTCTAGCTTCGATGCATCTCCCTGACCTTGCGCACGGTCGTCCTGTCCAGGACTCATGTTGCTAGGCATTGCGTCCTGCCTCCCTTTGATAGGCATGTGCTGGCGCCTTTCCGCCGCCCTTGCCGCCGATCGCGTCTAAGACCTGCCGAACGCGCAAAGCCTCGCGGAGTCTGTCCTGGAAGGCAAATACGTGGCCTTGCCGGACCAGACTTTCGCCGAGAGCTTGCCAGCCAATGCTTTGGGCACAACAGCCAGAATTGCGAGCTTTCCACCCATGTTGCTCATCAGCATTATTGCCTCGTTCGTTCGACACGGCGGAGCTTCACAGTGACGTGCTTGCTTACATGCCTGCGCTGGCTGGAAACAATGCTCTGCCCTGCCTTGCTTGGGCACTGCTTGATTGCCGCCTCCATCGCTGGTGTTAGGACCTTTGCGTCGTCGCAGCCTGCGCCTGCTTGCACGACACCCACGAAGGTCTCGCCAGATGCTGCTGCGGCTTCCTTGCCTGAGCACTGCAACTCTGATCTTTCCGCAGAGGAGCTACATCTACATAGTCAAGTTCACGAAACTATCAGAAGCCTTTCAGAAGTGTTCCATGGCTGAGGCCGGATGCCCAGCTTCTCGCCGTCTTCCTTGGCCTTACCTTCGAACTTCTTGGTTTCGGCTTTGCCCGCTTTGAGGGAACCCTTCGCCCTTAGCTTCCATAAACACGTGCAAGAACTGACTTTTGCACAAAAACGCGGGCGGGCTGCAAAGTTTCAAGTTCCGTCATGATGTCGGACTTCATGAGCAACGAGACCTCTTTGTCCTGCATTTCGCGAGGCAGCACTGCAGCCTTGAGCCACAGAGTTTCCATCCCTTGCGACAACATGAAGGTCCTCTGTGACTCTTCGGCGTAAATCGCCAATGCATTTGTCAAGCTCTGCACCAGGAGACATGCCCTTGAAGCCGTCCAAATCCGAACCTGCACACTCCGAGCCCTTGGGGAAATTCACCGTCCCGCCAGAGAAGGCTCGTGATAAGGGGATGGTGCTGACCAGGAGCTCAGGCTCTTCGCCTTGAGGGTCGCCTCCACAGCTGCTTGAGGTCCTGGTCTGCACCGCATTTTCTTAGGCAGACTAAGATCGCTGGCCGCCAGGCCTGTGACTGCAACAATGCGCCGAATGCCTTTCGCGATACCCTCCTCCTGGAGCAAGACGAACTTATAAATCTCCTGCGGCAAGGCGACGTGGTGAGGCTCCCCGTCCCGACACGTAGCCTGCTCGCCCCCATGCCCCAGCACGCCTTGAGAACCCTGACGAGCAGAGAAGGCTCTGAGGACACATTGCCCAGAAATCGAGCTCCGAGCTTGTTTGCAAATATGCTGCGACCTCTGCACCTTCCCTGCAGTGGCTTTGGCCAAGCAGGGCGACACCGGTTCTTGAACAGCCTTGCGCCTCTGCTCAGCCCGACGACTGGGACTCAGAGCGGCGCAGATCCCTGCTGACCGCGGACTGAGATATCAATACACAGACACTAAGAGACACACAGACGGACGGACAGAGCAAGTGAAGCGACCGCTGTGACATGCAGGCCGGGCCGGTACAGGCAGCTCGGCTTCCGGCATGCCTAAGAAGGATTTTGATCGAGCAACATCGCAGCCAGCACCAGCACCACCCTCAACGCAAGTTTTGGCGCTAGCACCTGCACACTCGCCCCACCACCGCCAACATCATCACCATTTCCAGCGACATCCCCCCGCCCATCCTCGCCATCATGAACCGCAGTGGAAGCCGAAGCAGCAGCAGCAGCAGCAGCAGCAGCAGCAGCGGCAGCAGCAGCATCTCTCAATCATCATCTGCTGTCGGTCCTTGCTGTTGGCCACGTGCGTACCACCACAGAACTCCACGCTGTTTTGCAAACCCCATGGAGTCTTCTTGTCAGTAAGCAGATCGTCAATCTTCGGACCAACGCTCACGACTCGGACAGGATCCGGGTAGGTTTCGCCGAACACCGCTCCTTGGTGCAGCTAAATGGCTTTCTGCAAAGCTCTGACAATTCAGGAATGCTTCGGATCTTAGCATGCCGAGCTGCTAAGTCCAGAAATGGCCTTTGCGGTGTCCAAAGCAACATCGCGATAATGCACGACGCAAGCTTTCTGCACCATCTGATTGCAAATTTCCTCAATCTTTTTCAGCTCCTCTGGCTCCACTGGCTTATTGTGGGAGAAGTCGAATCGCAACTTGTCCTCTGTAACCAGCGAACCTTTCTGATCGACCTTCTCGCCCAGGATTTGACGAAGCGCAAAATTCAAGATGTGTGTTGCTGTGTGGTTCTTTGCCACCAACGATCTCCGAGTGTAATCGACCTGGAGAAGGGGCCGAAGACGAAGAACTTAGCAGTTCGTTCGAACCAGCTGTCTAGAAACCTGAACCTCGTTGAAACTATGGCAGGAATGGGACAAGGACCCTCTACAGTAGGTGGGTCTTCGTTAGTTGATTTTCTTGCATCTACGATGCTCCCCTTCCACCGCTGCCACAAGTAAAGCCTGCAACACAAAACCGATAATGCGCCGCGGTCATTCAACACAAACCACGAGACAACTAAATTCGAAAATACTAGAACGAATCACCCTCGAGCACCGACTACTCTGTCCTCGGAGTCAAGCAGCCCCGCATACGGGCCGTGAATAGCAGTACAGCGATGGAAAGAAGAGCAGGCAAACAATGCACAATGTTCCGGAAAATTCCAAGCGCACAGAATGAGCAACATCCAGAAAAGTTAAGGCTAAGGAATACTGCATGAGTAACACTTGCTCCTTCGAGTTGTTCGTCGTACCATTCCCGAGGATTACAAGGCACCGTGCGGAAGGCAACAAATCGCCACGCTTTGATATCTGCAAGCTGTTCGGCTGTGGACACGGTTTGATGGCCAGGCACCTTCACGCTTACTTCATCACCGACTTTCAAGTCGCCCTTGCTCTCGACCTGCCCGACATGGAGGACATAGCCAGCCTGAGTTGGATGTGCAGTTGCTTGTGCTGTTCCGTCCACCGCCTGTCTGCCTCTGCGTCCGTGCGTGCGTGCGTGCGTGCGTGCGTGCGTGCGTGCGTGCGTGCGTGCGTGCGTGCGTGCGTGCGTGCGTGCGTGCGTGCTTGCCTGCGTGTGGGCCTGCGGGCCTACGTGCGTGC